ATGGTTGACAGCTAGACTCCATTTCTAGCTCTGTCCCTTATAATCTCTAAGTTAACTAACCTCTAACACAGCTCAGTTTTCTTAATTCTTACAATGAGATGTTAATACCTATCTCATAGGGCTTTGGGAAATACAACTGGAATAGTTAATTCAAAACAGCATAGTACCTGGGTTATAGTAAGCACTCAGTACATTTTAGCTGATATTATGATTTTTATTATTTCATAAAATAAGAAGTCATGATTTAGATTTGTTGAACTGTAAAAATAAACCCAGTTGAGACTCATATTTTCAAATGTCATTATGGAGAATGACATCAACATCATTGTTTCTGCATTCTCATTTTGCTTGAATTTCTTCAATTTTTTTTACATCATTAGGAAACATATATAGCACAATATCATAAATCCTATAGGGGAGAACAAAGATTTCTAGTATTTATTCTTATTCTTTGTTTAGAGATGAACAAGTTAATATCTCAAAGGTAATTACAATGTGTGTGGTAATCTTACTAAAATATATTTATCAAAGTTATGCAATCTAATCTGAGGGTAAAGTGATAGTGGAACAGAATTAAATTTATAGAATCATATTTTCTGAGCAGCTGAATGTTCAACCTTCACTCAATTATTTAGAAAGTGATCACATTTTTGAGACATGAAACTCCTTTATTCTTCTTCATGTCTCAATTTATCTGCTTACATTTTATTCATTTTTCAACTCATTTATATACCCATCCTAGAAGATAAAGAGCAATAAGGAGAAGAAAAAATACAAATTGATTCATCTAATTATTTCATAACAGAAAATTAAATGGAGAAAAGTTGAAATTGTAATGATACAGCTATTGTGATCACCTGCTCCATGTACAGTAGCTACAATTCCTTTGTCTTTCCTTGGCCTGGATAACTGAGAGTTAGCTGTTGTGTTTTGAAAAAGGTAGAACATTAAATCTTTAAAACTACTTATCACAAATGACTGAACAATCCTGCAACCATATCATCCTCTACAAAAATGCATGGATGCTTTAACATTTAATTAAATGTTCTAATGTTGATAAAGCTAAAATCTCTTTAGCCACATCAATGTATTAGCTATTTTTATTCACTGATGTTGCATTTCATATACAATTCATTGTACCAAACAAACATAAGTCTAGGTAACTCAAAAGAAAAAAAACAAAATGTATCCACATTAACAGAAAAATATCTATGCAGAAATTCCAAAACCTTACTGAACACTTACCTGAAAACATCAAGTAGTATGTATTTAAATAAATATATTATGAGAGTAGAAAGGCAGCAATGAAACCTAAAACCTATTGATACACTGAATGTACAAATGGACAATGGCTGGATTGTACTTAAAAATACAAGTCTCATCCACAATTTACAGCAGCCTGCCCAGGAAACCATACCTACAATAAATAGCTAGGGAGCCAATCTGCTATTAATCAGTCTTGAAGGAAGCCAATTGTTATCTATAGTAGCAATCCAGAAAGGTACACAATAACTTCTCTAACAATTGGCCCCAATGGCTAGGACTTGATTAATAACTAATGGCTTCCCTAATTTTTGCTGTCACTTTCAATTTAGGACCTGCTAGAGAAAGACAAATGTGCATCCTAACCAGTAAGATAGGGTGTCCTGCTTCTAATTAACCTCTTCATACAGCCTCCACACCAGCAGCCTCCAGTGAGGGCATACTTGAAGCTCTCCTTTTTCTCCATTATAAAGCTTTCCCACTCCTCTGTCTGCCTTTGAGTCTCTGCCAAAACACAAGAGACCATGAATGGCGGACTCCCTGGCCACAGTGAGCTCTGAATAAAGAGTCTTTGCTTTTCTCATTTGATTGGTCTTCATTTATTTCCACACTCTTAAGCATCTGCTACCCATCCATCAATAAGTACCATGTTTAGATAATACTGAAAAGTTAATCTTCACAATATTCTGAGAGGAATTATTTTTAAATCTTCATTTTGCAGATGTACAGAACCAAGTTTACAGAAGTTAGATGGCTTCTCATGTTCTCCTATTTATATGGTACTATTGTAAAAGCTTTGGTATATTATTTTTATAAACATATTTGAGATACCAAAAGGTATCCATCTATAATAACAACAGCTATAAATTAGATTTTTCTAGCATTAGTTGATTTATATCTATCAACTTGCTAAATTTCAAGACTGTATTTTGAATTGACTCATTGCTTTAAACTTATAATTCATTAAAGTACATATGGAATTTGAAATAAAATAATGGTAGAAGAAATGACTTCTGTAACTTATTTTCTGTAACAAGACATTAGCTGAAATAACTTGCTTGTCAAGTACTGATTGCATAAACAGTTTTTTCAAAGATACGTAGAAAACCCTACGAGAGAATGTAATTACTTGTGATACTGATAAGGGAACAAGCAAAAGTGAAATCTGGGTGATTCTATAAAAAGAGTAATAAGTATTTGCCCAGCAATTCAGATACTCTGTACTTTAAAAAAAAATTGCCTAGCAATCATATAAGTACTATTTACAAATAAGGAAACAGAGTTGTAAAGATATTAAGAAGATGACCTAAAGCTTCTCAGGTAATGAGTTGGGGAGTCTGTATTTAAAACTGAAATTTTTTGTTTGTTTGTTTAAAAGTTCAACAAGCATGTTCAAGAAGCTTTTGATTATTTGATTAGACTTTAAGATGTTCCCTTACCATGTAAATTTGCCACAGAGACCAAAATTGAAGTAATTTATTTTCTAACTAGAAATAACTTCGCTTTCTAGCTAAGAAGGGGAGCAAATAGCATTTGCACAAAATAGAAATTACCATAAAAGTTACATAAAGCCAGATTTTTTTAAATAGGAAGATATAGATGGCTTTTTTAATGCCTGAAATGTAATAAGGCTTTTTAATTCCTGAAACTAAAATGGTATTTAAACACAATTCTTTTAATAAGAACCTGAAGAAATAAAAAGAAATCTATAGATAACATTGCTTAAATAATAATGTGGAATAAGAAATGATAACTTAAAACCAAATAATTCCTCATGTGGCTTCTACTTTTTCTCACTAATTCCATTTAGTTAACTCTAACCCTTATTAGGAATTCCTTGCATTGAGCATAAATTAATATGAACAGAAAGTTGGAATTTGAGAATCCTTATGAATACAAAGAGATTTAAGCTGTTGGCCTTTAATAGCATTTCATGTTAAGGAAGGAAAACTATATTTTGAAATTTCCCTGTTTTAAAAAAAGTAATACATTTGTAGCATAAAATTATTATGAATACTTAAGTTATAATTTGTCCATTATGCCAAGTGTACAGGGGAAAAAATTGTGCTTCTTTTACATACCTTAAAGACTTTACTCCTTCCAATGAACAAGACTGATGTTCAATATCTATCAACTGATTGAATTTTTAAATATTTTGTTATTGCCTCTCCAGTGGGCTGCAACAACATATTTTTTATAGCAGGAAAAAATTTGAGGTTTCTATCTTTGCCTCTTTCTATATTAGACTTTCTAACTGGGAGTAAGTGGGCAAAAGGTATGAGGTAGATTAGGGGATGCATTTTATAAGGAAATCATCTGGGGAGTTTCCCAAACAATGTGTTTCTCAGATCTTGAGAAAAATAATCATATCATGAAAACAACATGTTCTATGCTCTGAAAATAACTTTGAGGCAATGTTATGTGTCATAGAGATGTACTGCTTACAGTCCTGGTCTTTTACTGGTTAACTCTATGACCATTCAAATCATTTAACTTTGTGACAAATTTCTTCATTTGTAAGACAGAGATAATAATAATGGAACTTCGTGGGGTTGTCATAAGGATTAAGAGACTTAATATATATGTGTTGACACATAGTAAATACTAGATGAGTACTATTTTATTATTGCTGTCGAACTGAAATAAAACAAGTAACTTCATTTCAGAGAATGAGCAGCAAGTTGACAAGGTCAAGACAAACAGGTCAAGACAAATAGGATGCTTGTTGCCATGAGCTATGGATAATATTCTTAGATGGAGGAGGAGTCCAAGAGAAAATAATTGCTTTTCAGAAAAATATTAAGCATCATGCTTATGTCTTATCAATGGAAGAAATTGATTACAGACATTATTTTACTGCTTCTCCATGCTCCATAATGGCCAATGAACACTTGATTATGACATTTACTATGCTGTACTCTGTCTCTGTATCTGTGTGACTCAGTCATTAACCAGGACACTTCTTGAAGTCAGGAGTTAGGCCAAAACTCTCTGAATCTCAGTGTCTAATAATGCCTTCCATGCAGAGGTACTCAATGCATGTTGAATGAACAGTGAATGAATTTTTAAAGATAAGCAAATGAATGAAATATGGATTGACAGTTTTCAGAGAAAAAGTGGTATTTATATAGAGTGGACTTATTTAAAATGAAATATAAATTATTTTCAGAAGCTTTTTATAAAACTTAAATATATATCTTAGAAACAATTCAGCAGCCCTCCCAATATGATTGATTTAGTTCAAAGGACTGCACAGTTTTCTTTTTCTATTTCAAGTTGATAAAAAAATATTTAATGTCTCTTGAGTGAAAGAGTTATATTTGTATTACCTCTTGACTAATAAGTCATATCATCTGATTAAGAAAGAGAAGTAGAAAGCCTATCTTGGCAAGAATTTTTATTTATTTATAAACATGTACAGTTTTATTAGTTTGAACTGGTTGTAGATATTTTAAATTAAAATTTGTTTCAACTAAATTAAGACAGAGAAACCTTACTCCTTTTGAGCTCTTGAAGATATTTCAGAAAACATATTGTATTATCCATTCCTGTCTTCCAAAATTAACTGCATATGGTAAGCTTGGCATATCTTTTGTTGGTAAGGTATGTTTTAATCTAGGAATCACACTGATTTGAACTACTAGATAATTATTTTATACTAATTAGTGCATACCATATATTTGCAATATTTAGTTCTTCATAAATAATATGGGAGGTGGTATATCATTACTTCTTACCCTGTTTGAGTCAATTCTTGCTCTGGAAGTATAGATGGGAGGTGGGATATTGAAAGCCTGGGGGACCAGGTATTCTTCAGCATCCATCATATCTTCTAAATCCTCTTCATCCAAGAGATTCTGAAAAAACTTGCTGTCATTTGGACTGGGAAGCTTCATACGATCATCACCCTAAAAGATTGTCCATCAGACACATAAAAAAGTCATTCTTCCCTTCATCTTAAATAGGTGGCCTCTGCAGCAAATACATATGAAATCAAAACAAGTAGTTGAAAATTCATGCACTCTTAAAAAAAATTCTTTTGCATAACTGACAGCCATAAAGAGACCAATAACATACTTAGATATGACAGTGTAAGATAAATAAATTTAATACACAAAGAATGAGATAGATGCCATTAGAGATGAATAAAGCAGAATCCTATGGCTGTTTTGAGGAAAGCATAATCCATTTCAGATCTGAGAATAATGTAGGTTTCATTGCCAAGATGGCATTGGGCTGTGATTTTAAGAACACATAATAAAGACAACTGACTTATCAATCTTTATTTTATTTGATTGGTATGATAGTGTAGAGTTACCAGAATGGGTAGGCTCCATAATTTGTTCTGTAGCATAACAGTGTTAAAGTGACAGTATTTGAAACCACATCACAAGTGACAAATAACAAATGGGGGTTGGAGAGATATTAAAGCCCTTGTTATATTTTTCGGGCCTCATCTGTTTCTTAAATATAATTTTTTATTTTTTCAAAGTAATGTGATTTTTTGGTCTACAATTTGTATATGAAAGTTAATTTGGGAAAAAGATATCTGGAAGCCACTGTCTTCTGAAATGTGGCTCTAAATTTCATGTGAAACAATTGATATGAAGATAAATGCTACTTTGTTTTATTGAGGAAACTTAATTCAGTCTAATCCAAGGTCCATTTGTTTATGGTTTAGGTGAAAATAATCACAGAGAAATACATTGCAAGTTTTAAATTATCCAGTCCCTTTTTTCTAGTGTTACATATAAAATGTGCTTTTGGCTTGTTATTTGATTCATATGTACATCAATTCATTTGAAACTTAATTATTGCTTGGATACTGTATACCTCCTGAAACAAAACAAAACATGTCAAAATATTTTTCTACAAAATTAACTGTCAATATACTGAAACTTTTAATTCATTGTTTTCAATCATGGACAAGATTAAAACAAAATCTAGCTTTTATTCTGAAACAGGAAGATGATAATAATGAACATGACTAGTACATGTTAATAAAAAGCAGAGTGCTAGAACTTTGTAGATAAAATGATAAGACTTTTTTATGTATGTGGATAAGCATAGTTATCTGGTTATTCAATAGCAGAGGCAGTTGAATACCGAGAGAAGGTGCTTAGAAGTGTTTTTGACGTCAAGTTAAAGGCTCTTTTCCACAGTCATTTTATGTGATATTCTCCTTAGTTAATTGATTTGTGAGTGGTGATTTCCAGAGTTCCAAAATACAGATATTACTCATATTTTATAGTGATTTTTTACTGAGATATTCTTAAAAGCCTAAGTCAAATACTCACCTGAATAACTAGATATCTTTGAGGGTCTCGAGCCATCCTCGAAAATTCAGCAGCCAGTTCCTTAAATTTAGGTCTACTGTCAGCATCAATCATCCAGCCTAGAAATTCACATGCAATCAGAGAGTCACTCCATCCATGATTAGGAAGAAGTGGGATGGAAGTTTTATGAAAGTACATTCTAAGTTTGAAAAAAATTGTTTTAACAATAATAATACAAAAAACAAAGAAAGCTAATGAAGTAATACAATAGGCAAGAGTCTATCTCAATCGATTTGTTGATATTCATAACTAAATGTAATACACTGTGGAGTAACATAAACCTTTTATTTTGTTGACCCAATTGAAGATTAATTCCTTCCTAGAAAATATAACCCAGGCTAACTATAGGAACTTAAAGAATCTCAGGTATTTTTTCCTTAGGTGTAGAGAGAATTTTGTTTTTAAACTTTTCTTTGATGACTATGAAAGAGGTGATTGGAAAACAATTTATCATTTTGTGTCAGAAGTAACATGGAATAAAGGTCTTTTTTGATTACAGTGAGGTAGACCAAAACAACAGGGAATAAGAAATAGAAAACAACTTTCTTATTACTTTTTCCCTGGTGGGAAAAAAACTAATGCAAAGTGATTGGTAATGTTTGTTCAGCAATAGCCATTAGCTTATCTTAGTACTAGCCTTTCCAGCATAAAAATACTACCAGCAATTTTCAAGGTATGCATTATTATTTAGCTGGTAGTCTAGATAAAGAAGGTCTTATCTCCCCAGGCTCTGTTTAGCTGATGAAATGACAAGAATAAAAGCACCAAGCTTTCCTTGATTTTCTTGCCAAATGACCCCTTTTTTAGGTATTAAAACTAAAGGCAAAATTAAAATCTCCCTAGTATGTAAAATGTTTTCTTGAGTTTTCATTATTTCTTCAACATATCTAAATGAAGTATCTGAATCATCTTTTATGCTAATTATGGGATCAAATTATATAATGCATACATGTGTAAACTTTCTCCCCTGGATGACTGTTGAACAATATTTGATCCTATAAAGCTGTTTCTCCTTTTTCTGGGAGTTCAATTTTTATTCTTGTTCTGGAAAGTCAGTTGGTAGCATGCTATGTATCATTAATATCACCTGATTCCTTTTCCTCTCCTAACAAAGCTCAAATGCTCCATATTCTAGATGCATCCACTAAAAAATGCCAAGACACTAATGAAAAAAATAGGTGTTTTTGGAGCTATTGGAACTAAAAAGGTTAACTTCACAGTGAGGTATCAGTTTCTTTTTAACTAAATATTGAGTAAATAGAACTATGCTTAGAGAAAAGGGCATGCTGACCTGAACTAGAAAGCACATTTTTTATTTCTTTCCTCACTGTCAGAATGTATCACACATGTCATGAATATAAATCTGAGTAGACCTGGGTCCAAAGTCTCTTATTAATAAGATGCTTATTCACCTTCACCAGTTTGTTTCTTTGCTAACCCTGTGCAAATCAAAAGGGGAAAACCTCAGATTACACAAGAAAGATTGTTGAATGTTAATCTCACTTAAATTAAGTTGGCAACTCCAGAGGCTTCCCTAATTCTATTTAAATTAAGAGCCTAGGCTTCCAAAACACATTTATAATACATTTGTGTCCAGGGCATAGAAAGGAGAAAGAAAAGTAAGAGAGTTAGATATAAACAAATGATCAAATCGAAAAAAGAGTAAACATTCATAACCTTTTTTGTTCAATGTAGATTCACGTCTTCTCACTTCCCATTCTACCCTGCTAATTTCCTGCTGACTAAAACTGGTAAACCTGTTTCCATTTAATTCATTTTTTTAAACTAGCTGTTTCAAGCCTGCTTTCTTTATATTTAGATTACTTGTTTACTCTGCTATTTTCTGGTAAAGATGACTAACATTACCATGATTACTTACTATGAGAGACAATTCGATTGTCATGGAAATGATAAGAATCAATTAAATGAGTAACAAGAGTAAGTCATAATTTTGACTTCATAGCATGGAAGCATACTGCGTCTTATTGAAAATGATCGCAGCAAACATGTTCACTTGCTCCTTTCATAATTGTTTTTTAACTTTTGTATTGTTCAACATCCAGAGACATTACACAGGTGGATTAATCTGTACTATTACTTTACTAAGAATGACGATAGTGACGATAAAATTATTTTTCAGTCTTACATTTGACCATGACCATGTAAACGTCAATAGTGCAGATAGGAGGCTGCGGCAAACGTTCTCCTTTCTCTAATAAGTCGGGGATTTCTCGGGTTGGAATTCCATCATAAGGTTTTCCTCCAAAGGTCATCAGTTCCCATATAGTAACTCCTAAATTGGAGATCAAATTCTTACATAAGCATGTTAACTATATACTTTGAATAAACCAACATATGCCAGTGGCAAAAGGTTGCTCCCTAGCCGGCAGTCAAAAATAGTCTAAATAAAGACTCTTCAGATTCCCATATCCATTGTGAGAAGCCCAATGATAAAATCTCTGAGGAAATTCAATTTTCTTATTATTGTCTTGAAATCTTTAATGAATAGCAGAGACAATTTAGAATGGATGTCAGAATACAGAATCTCTTCTCCATTTTTACTTAAAAGTAATGCTAATGTTTGCTGACCCAAGTTAAGTTTCACTATATCACACTAGAGCTTCTAAAACAATTTATTTATTATATAAATGTATATTCAGTACAAAGTAAATATGATTACAGGTAAAACCTGATATTGACTAATTTTGAGATGAACATCTTTGCTATTAAAATCCCTAAAGACTAAGCTGGGGTTCTTGAATGATTACCGTATGTTATGGTAAATAATGTGACTTTCTTTTTAACTAATTCAAAAGAACAAGTGGAATAAATCAAATCCATTTCTTTAGCACATGTCAGAGTCTGTAAGGAATGATCTCTATGTAGGACATATAACATGTAAAGTAGGCATATGAAAATTGAAGGGAATCAATAATAGTTTCTCTCTTAGATACTGAAATCACTTACTTGAATTACCAAACACTGATTCCCTCTGTAAAAGCAAATACCCTAAATATTAGCATGCAAATAGCCAGCTTAGATAACAATGATGATTCTGATTTGAGCAATAATATATATATATATATATACCACAGATCACCTTTATTATCTAATAGTTACATAATTTAAATTATAGTTTTCTTAAGGATAAAGATTGTAAGTTCAGAAATAGCTATCTGAGCATAATAGTATTACCAAGTGAATTTTGATATACAGGTATACTGCACATAAAATCTACTAACGAGGGCTATGTTTTCTTGTCCATTTATCTGATAATGAATTATTTATTCAGAGTGGAATCTTTTTTAGCTCATAAAGTTATCATTGACTAATTATAAAAATACAAAGCTTCAACTATAAAAGTATATGTAAACTTCAAATTATCCTTCATAATAGTATTACTAAAATTACTTAATTTTTGGTTGATATTTATGTTTTATGATTCTTAGACATAATGTAAACATGGAACCAATAACATAATTTAACTGTCTAATCTTTATTAAAGCCTACTTAATTTTCCATAGTAACCAATGATCCATAAAACCAATGATCAAAACCCAGTGTCCATGAGGCAGACTGAAACAAGAAGTGGATGACTGTCCATTTCTATTCAGTCAGTCATATTTATAGACTGTGTATTTCATGAGCATATTTTATTAACTTATGGATGCAGTTACAAAAGAAAGAATAGATACTTTCACACCTGTATCAGAATTTCTAATGTAAGCAAGATATAAAGCAATTACAAAGACAAAGGCAGAAACTTCAAAACTTACACTTCTGCCAATAATAATCCAAGTTTATCTTTGCTAGACTGATGACAAGACGGAGCTAAACAGAGATGGCTTCATGTACAAGGACAATCTCAAGAAAACTAAATCAGAAGCATCCTTAAAACCTGTAATGCAATTCTGTCACTTGAAGATAAAAACCACAGCCAATGCATATTTATTTTTATAAAAATAAAGATGCACCAAGTGGAAATTTTCCACAAGGTGCACTGTAAATAAGATCATGTATCCTTCTCTGACTTGTACACCGTTTACAATTAACTATAATATAAAAATCTTAAAATGCCTTATGAATATGGGTTAAGGACCTGGGTTATGGTTTAAAACAGAGTTCTACCACCTATCATCTATCTTTTACTTCTACTGAATAGCTCCTGAGATTTTTCAATTCAACATGAAGATAAACATTATAGCTTCAGTAAATGTGACTCCCTTGCCAACACTTATATATATATACACACACAAAGTGAAAGAGAGAGGTTACTTAAAACTTGCCTAGTTTGCCTGCATTAAATACTGCCACATTTAATTCAGGGAAACATAAATAGAAAAAAAAAGGGAAAAGAAAAATAACATACATGATAATATGTAAATCTATCAAAAAAGTGTAACAATAAATCTATAGCATATAATATGTATGCGAACATATAATATATAAATATAAATGTTTATCTACATTCTAATATATACTATATCATATAACCTACACATCTAATATATATATATACTGATAGATTTGTTTTCCTATTTAGTCCTTACAGTTAAACAACTAAGTTTTGTCAAGCATTCCCCTGTTCTTGTGTAAATCTCAAACATACAACACTTTCTACTTCTGAACTGAATAGACTATATGAGGCCTTCTTAGAAATTTTAACATCCCCTATGGCATACACATATTGGGGAAATGTTATAGAACATTTATAGAACATTTATAGAAATGTTAATGAAACATATTATAGAAATGTTTCAATTTTTTAAAACAATAACGATAAGAGGTGTATGTTCTTCAGTGACTGAATGACATATCTTTTTTTTTTAATTTAAAGAAGCTAAGCTTAAATTTGGGTAAAATAAATTGTACCATGCCTTTAAGTCCCACTACCATCTTTTTATTTAAATGGGCATTGTGCTTTTAATTTGTAAGAAATGCTAGTTTTATATAGTATATTTAAACTTAGAAAAGGTATTGACTCATTCTTATTAATACCTGGATGGACTTAAGTTGTAAATCGCCAGATAATAAGTAGTTCATTTAAAAAATTGAGCTAAATGCAATGAAATGAATTTCTGAATTTAAAAATCACTCATTTCAAGTTCATATTATTCACTTTCTAATATATGTTTATTCTAAAAGTAGTTTGTAAGTTAAAATCAAGGCTGTAATCTGCAATCTTACCTTTTGTTTTTCCCCTCACATTCATTGCTCTTACCTTACTGCTTTTAGTAATTATTCTTTGTTATAACAATAATCTCTATTTTCTTATCATGAAAAGAAATTTCCTAAGGGAAAAAGTTATTATTTTTAATGGTGATTGTGCTTAGAGTTATGTTTTCAAAGAGTTCTTGAAAATTAGGGCCATGAGATTCTATAAAACTGTCCCTAAACTAAAATTGGCTCTTTTTTTCTGTTAAAATGATCAGATATTTACTTCCAAACCAAAGGTTACGGTAGACAACAGAACTGGGATATTAAGATATTACATTTTAGGAAACCAAGGAGTAACAAAAAAGGAGGTAAGGATACTATTTAGAATTTTTTTTAATGGAAGAGCAAATAGTTAATTCCTTTAGGAAAGAAGGGTTATAAAAAGGTATTTCCAAACAAATAGCTTTGGCTTAAGATATTTCACATGAATCTAATATATTTATTTTTGTCTTGAAAGCCTTAATTTACAAGTAAGGTTTACTTACCATAACTCCAAACGTCACTCTGATGGGTGAATTTCCTATAGTGTATACACTCCAGAGCCATCCATTTAATTGGCATCTATAAAGAAATAAAAAGTGAAAGTTTTATAGTTATATAAAAAGCCATTTCCATATTTATTTCCTAAAGGTGAGTCTCTGGATTCACCTCAATTATTTATTTACTTTTCTTACTGAATGTGTAGAAAATAAAAATATAAATATGAGATTTTTCAATACAAGAAAAAAGTGAATTGAAATTTATAAAATTCTTGAAGTGAATTAACCTGAAAATATGTTTATCTTATAAAAGCTTCTTAAGCAGTTAAGAGTAAAATAATGAGTATAACTTTCTATGGCTCTTAATGTTCACTAACTGATTCAGTTACTAGTTAACAGTATGACTCAAAATACCAATTCTAAACATCTAACACATGTACTTCTAAAAGTATGGTCATATTATATTCTTCCTCCAAAATGAGATTCCTTACATTTTCAGTTATCCTTTTCTACCCCGAGACAAATTTCAGGCCACTGGTGAAATGTGCTCTTTCTACATTTGCCCCACTCTCTTCTCCTTTCATAAAATTTGGGCACTAAAGCACCTAAAATAATGAATTTCAAAGTGAGCCTTGCTTTGTTCCCCAGCCACAAATGCTCTCCCTTGTCTTGGGTAGCCAGTATTGAAATTGTGTACCATTTTCAAAATAGGAATTACATAAACCCGTGTGAAAGGATCAGTACAAATCCATCATCCCTACAAGAAAAACAACTCAACTCACATATCCTGCTGATGAGGGGTCAGCAGAATGAGTTTCAACCACGAAGGGCAGCATTATATAGCTGCAAATATAATTAGGTTCTATGGAATAAAGATAAACACTTCTATTTTTGTAGTGGAAAGCTTAAAAACTAAAGAGGTCTTGGAAATCATGTGGTTGGCTGCTCACCAAGGTGACATCAAGGTAACTCTATGACAGAATCATGGTATTCAGTGAAAAGGAACAGAAGACACATTGAAAGTAATTTCCCCATGGGCAGAGTTAGCTGGCTTTATGGACTATGGACACTGTGTGAAAGAAGTAAGTTTAAATCACAGGTGGCTTGATAAAGACTTAATGGTTACTAGGCACTTAAAGCTATAATGAATCTTGCTTTAGACAAATCTTACAGCTGTATGTTCTCAAGACAAGTGAAGTCATGTGATTTATAGACTTCTACTTCTATGCAATCTTGTGGTGAATTTCAAAGCTGTGGCCTCAAACTGCTGCTGCAAAGTAGTAAACAGAGAAAATAGGCTAATAGAATCAAGAAAAAAGCCAGATAATACTATAAAAGTGATTTTTAAAAATGTAAATATTGCATTCTTTTGCTTTGTGATAAGCTTTGAATATAAATAATTATGAGTTTAGTATAAAAATATACTAATGATATATAAAAATCAATGTTAAGCATTTGAAAGCCTATCATTACAAAATATTGATAATATATATATTTGGATGGCCCATGATGAAAAGGCACATAATCAATATGTTTATATGACATATGAATAACTTTCTTTGATAGCATAAGCTTTAGGTCACTACAGGTAATAGTTTCATTTCCTCATTTCATTTGGCCTCTCCCGAGCTAAGTTTCCACAGGTGAAGGTAGAGGAACCTCCACATGAAGAGAAAATATCCCTGTTGGTTAGCCAAGAACAGCAACCTAAACAGCAGGTTAATTTTTGAAAGAATAGAGCTGAAAGTAAGGGATGGACTGAGACCATAAGGTGGGCGAGAGAGGCAGGAACACAGTTGTCAGGCAGGGCCTGAGGGTGGAGAACTGGAAAAGTAGAAGACGCAGTGGAGCGACTCAGATCCCTGGGACATCACACCTTACATTCTAGTGGAGTCAGATAATAAATAAATTGGTAAATCATACACCATAATACAAGATAAAAACAACAACAAAGAAGGTAAGATTCCACTAAGAGTCATCTGTTGTATCTGCTATAAAAAGGATTAAAACTGAAACAGTATGATCAAATTTCCAGGACTTAATGGTTCTTAGTAGCAGACGAGCTTCTCTCTAGCCCATGAGAAAGAAGTTTTGTCTCTCTGTAGTTGTCAATCCTATGTTCTTAGGATCAGTGAAACAATTTACATGGCTCTGGAGTAAAGTGTAGTTTCTAAAGTGCCTAAGGATCCACTCACTTCCCAACACTGGACTGAGAAGGACCACTTGCGTCTGACACACACTGTCTTATTGTAGCTACTCTTGAGAAACAGGAGTTGGTAATATAATACAATATAAATGTAAATATATTTTTTCTTTTTTTTTAACCCCAGGCAAAAGAGAAGGAAAATGGTAGAACTGGGATTTTATAATCTCTGAATTCAGGTTTATTGGTTTCTTCCTATAACATACGAGACAAAAGGATATCATACTAAACTTTCAAGCCATATTGCTCTCAAAAAGATACCCACCTTTCCTCCATCAGCATTATACTCCTTTTCATCTCCTTCTAAGAGTCTGGCTAGTCCAAAATCTGTGATTTTCACATGATTTGGAGATTTCACTAAGACATTACGGGCTGCCAAATCCCGATGAACAAGCCGTCTTTCTTCCAAGTACATCATTCCCTGAAAAACATGAAGTTCCCCAAAGATGGTCAGTTAACGCCTAGACTCTTCTACGGTCTAAAAAGGAGTATCTCAGCACTCAGGTGCAAGTTCTTGATTTCTCTAAGTGAAGCTAGAATCCTAAAATATTTTCAAAAGTAGGGAAAACCTGGGAGATAAAAAAGGAAACCACAAATAGCTTTTGGCCTTTTCTCCTTCCAGTTCTATAAAGAAGAATAAATTTCCTGCCTATGAGGTAAATGTTAGATCATTTTTTTCCAGAGACATGATATTTTGCAAAGACTTCCCTTAGCGAGGTGTGCATGTGTGTTGGTACATAAGCTGACATATACTCGGACCGATCTACACACTCCTAACTGTTTTCTTCTCAATGATGTCTGCTGCATGTCATCTTCCCCCTACACACCTGCTCCAAACACACCCATCCATAATTTTTAAAAGAATTTCAGATGAAGGTTTAATGGTGTCAAAATCACCATCATAGATTCTATCAAGGCTGAAGAATTATATTATTCTTATTAATTATGCAAAAATTAAGTATACCCTAGGGGCACTAAGAGCCTATAATTTTAAAAGGACCTTCAATGACATTAGTAATTATAAGAACTCACAGGTGAAATTTCATAGTTTATAATGACCCTCAAACTAGCCTTTATAAAACATGTATTTTCTTCATAAAACAGAGTAATTAAAAATAAGATGTATACTGATTGCCAAATCTATCTATCTATCTATCTATCTATCTATCTATCTATCTATCTATCTATTTATCTATTTATCTATCATCTATCTATCTATCTATCTACAATCCAGAGGAGCAATAAGTATTAGTTATGTTTCAGCAATAGGGAAACTAAAAGAGTTACCAAACAACAACCTTAACTAAAAGGTCAATGTAAAACTAAGGAAATAAACTCAGAGGCCTAGATTTGAGTGAGCACATTTTTATTATAAGAGTTAAAGGAAATTCTATATTTGAGGATTTCAGTGGTAAAAAAAACGTTGTCATTCAAAACAAATCAGAATTATTATAAAAGAGTTGAAGCATACTCTCCTGCCAATTGCAAATGAATGCTCTTGGCAGTTAACATTACAATTGCAGGACTTGAAGGATTAATGGTTTCTGATATCAAAATAAAAGCTGTGGAAAACAGACACATAAATCACACAAGTCACAAATTATGAGCCGTATACCCACTGTGGTGTCAAGAGAAGATTGCTTCAAACAGCATCATGAGCCAAACACTATATAAATGCCCATTTAACACAACCAGTGGAGATGCTGCCTGCTATGGCCCAAGCCCTCAGCAGTTGGGTGACATCATATATATTAGTGTTTTCAGAAATTAACACACAACGGGGATTTATTGAGTTTTGCACTCTTTCCTAACAGTGCTTTCTGTTTGGTTACATCGAATTGGAAGTTGTTAGAATAAAGTTAATCTGAAAACATATAGCCCTTACATGACTTGAATGATTAAAAAAAACAGACTTATTGCTTTGGAGATAAAATATTTTCAATAATTTTATCCCTTTAGGAAATGTCCACAAAAAAAATTCATCCTTATCTTTCTTATCATCTTCATATCAGAATATGGAAAGTCTGTTGACAAAAACAAACATTTTGACTTTTTAGGAAAAAGATTCCTTTTAAAAAAAAATCAAGTCCCTTATCACTGAAAGGACTTGTACATTTAAAAATTTCCAGTCTCTATAATTGTGTGTGAATCTGCATATTAGCTTGTTGTTATCTCCAGGCACTGTGTTAGAGGTCAGAGAAACAAAAATGAGTCAGAGAAGGTCTGTGCATTAAAGCAGGACAGAAGCTTATTAACAAAGTGGGTGGGTATGGAATAGAAACTTGAGTGGATGGGTGCAATGCATGTAGGGCATTATTGGAGAGCTGTATTTTGAGGACCATTTGTAGTATGGCCCAGAAAGTTTGCATAAGAGGGGAGTCTTCAGAGAGGTACTGAGGCCTGGGTAAGGTTTGAATGATGTCCTCACTTGGACAAGGTGCGAAGAAAACTGCAGTTAGAGAGAAAAAATGCAGGTGCATCAATAACATGGAGTCCTTGGAAAAAGGTATGTAATTCTCTATTTCTGAAGCACTATGTATCAGGGAAGGCAGGGTGTGCATAGTGAGGCTGAAAAAGGTAAGAAGAGGTTAAATCCAAGAAGAGCCCCTTAGATGTCATGGTCAAGAATTTGGACTTTGCGTTACTTGGACTTCATGCAGTATTCAGTGTGATCATGCAGAAGTTCCTTTATAAAGGAGAGTGACATAATTAGAACTGGAATCTTGAAAACATCACCTGGTGCTAATACAGAGGATGGATTGGACACAAAGATCATGAAGTCAGGAGCCATTGCCCCAGAATAAAAGTGATGAGGGCGTAAAAAAGTTGAAAATCAGCAATCCCTGAGCTATATTCATTTTTTGTATCTTTTTTGGTCCACACTGGGCAAGTTTCAAAAACCCTCTTTAGCTGAATACTGACTGTATCCCATTGAGGGCATCCATTCTCTAGTTTCTCAGAATCCCACCATTTGCTCTCACTTTTCAAGAGTTCTGCTGAAATCATTTATGCTACTCATCCAGCAACTACAGGCATGAGTGTCTGAGTCTTCAACTAAATGAGGCCAGAGGAATTTTAAGGAGAGGACAATTTCAAGGTAAGTTATAAAATAAAATAACCACTTTGGTAATTGAGTGACTAATGAGAAAAGTAAATTGAGAATGATTCTTTTGACTTTTCTAATATAAGTGGATAAAGATTCTTTTAACTAGATATTCTAATGTAAACATATATTTCTTAAACATGTGCAGGAAGAGTGATATATATTATGCCAATAGGGAAGCAATATTCACTAAGAAACTTGACTCTAATGACACATACAAATGAAATTTCAGAAACTCCAAAAATTCTTTGATAATCTATACACAAAACCTCAGCAGGTGATACGGTATCTTAAACCTAAATGCTATTTGTCCAGAAAAAGTTATTTTTTTCAAAATAATGTGAACTCAATTCAGAAAACTAGATGATAATCTCTATTCTGCTTCCCCCACCCACCTGAATATAATTAAAAGAAATGAAAACAGAAACATCTATATCATTACCAAGCCATCAAAATACATTTGTATGGCTGCTTTGTAATGATGAGACGCTACTGTACAGTTGTACACTTTCAAGTCATTAATTATGACTGCCACCTTAGTTGTGTTTTCACACCCTGGATTAGAGTGTTGCATCATCTGTGGATAGCTCACAATAGGTTTCTCCACATCACAGTCATTAAGATAGGATTTTCTTTCAGGAAGATCTCATTAGAGTCACATTCTCTGTGAGATTCCTTCAAAATAAAATCACTCCTTAAGTCAGAGTGTGATGCAATTAAGGAGGCAGTTATTAGAAAAGCAGTGACAAAAATAAATTGGATCAAGCCCCTTGAAGTTGGAAGATGATTAAAGAAGGGCCATTCATTATGATAGAGGGACAATGAGGCCTTGGTTGAAAAGAAACCTCTTACTCTGCCCTGTAGCAACTCCCAGCCCTCGCCCTGCCAGCTCAGGAGGAATACATTTTGCGTTAATGTTATTATACTTACACACCAACCACTGCTAACATCGACTTGAGTACTTAGAACATGGCATGAGTTAACCTAAACACTTCTGCACTGGGAGGTTAACTTAATCCTAAGAGATCTGTTTCCATCCCATTTTAAATATGAGAAAAGCAAGGCTAAGGGAGGTCAACTTTATTGTTCCAAGTCATCCACCAAAGAGAGGTAGAACTGGGATTTGATGTATTGCTGTGGGACTCAATAAAGTTGGCATGTTTAAGCCTACACCCCTCGCTTGATGAGTCACAGGGTCATGTGGGCGTGTAGAAAATAACATACACAGTGAAGTCATATAGCTTTAAAAAATCCTAGTTATTTTACAGGAAAAAAAATTATCAGATGTTTTTATGAATTTCAGGGCATAATGGAGATGATAGTCTTGTTCATAGTTACATTTAAAATCAAGCTAGATTATAGAAGCTTTTAAAATTTAGCAGGAATTTGAATTGTGTCGATTAAGAACTTGATTCTTGCTTTGGCCACAGAGTACAGGATGGTGGAATGGATTTGAGGGTAGATTCTGGAGTCAATTGGTTCGATCCAAGTCCAGTTCTGCCATGTTCTAGCTGTGTTACTCTGGCAAGTTAATTAACTTCTCTGTCACTCACCTTCCTTTCTAAAATGGCCACAGTAGCACCTATCCCACTGGTGTTGTCAAGATTAAGTAGGTTTATATATGTGAAGCACTTAAATAGTAATTGGCATGTAGTAAATGCAGAACATGCAAGCTTTTATTAATCATTTTACAGATAGATATCAACAGCCCTAGTGTGTACAAGAATAACTTACCCCCATTAAATTGAATTGTCTGTTTCAGAAAATCTGTGAACCTCAACTAATATATCACAGTAGGTGTTCAATAAATGTTTGCAAATACTGATATATATACCCATAACCTACCCATTGTGATTAATGTGTGGATACAAATTACAGAATTATTACTGTTCAAAGCATTATCTTAATAATGATTCACCTGAGGATGCTGTCATAAAAGAGAAGGAAAAAATAGGGGCTCTATTAAAAGATTTGGTACCCTCCATAAATACATCATGTACTCAGAAATTTAGTGAATATATAGGTCATGAATGAGATAGGTCAAAAAGTTTTCAATACTGCAGAGTGTTTCTCTTGGGTAAATAAAATGGTAGATTTGCTATACTAAAGTATCTGCTTTTACCACCCTGCACTGAGAGGAATTCTTGGTAGATGTATTGTAGGGACATTTTGTCTATTTTTTGATCCAAGTATTACATATCTGATTTTACTCAAACTATTCAGAATTTAGTATTAGCCAAACCATTCAGAATTTTACTACTTTTCCTACTTGCTATATATGCTGTAATGAGCTTTCAATAAGTTAAATAAAATACTTA